AACATAACAAGAGGCGTACGCCAAGGGTGCCCTCTCTCGGCCCTGCTTTTCATACTCGCTGTCGAGGTACTAGCTATTAAAATAAGAAACGATCTAGACATCACAGGAATTACCCTTTTTGATTCAGTCGAAATAAAGATACTGCAATTTGCAGACGACGCAACAATTTTTGTTAAAGACACAAAATCTTTAAAGAAAGCTATAAAGCAGATAGAACATTTCGGTTTATTTTCAGGTTTAGAGCTGAATAAATCAAAGAGTTCCATAGTTAACATTAATGGAGACACCACTGGTGAAAACATTTATGGCATTCCATGGACCTATTCTGATGTTAAAATATTAGGGGTTCATTTTGGGAAAAATGAACAAAACCTAATAAACCTTAATTGGAAACCCAAAATATCAAAGATTGAAAATATAGTACGTCTATGGAAAGCGAGGCGCTTAACTTTTTCTGGTAAAATAACTATAATCAAATCATTTCTTGTTTCTCAAATTATATACAATGCTCAAATGATTTCCATGCCGGAAAATGTAATGAAACTCATTGACTCTTTACTGTATACTTTTTTGTGGAATGGAAAAAAACACAAAATAAAAAGAAAAGTGGTTTGTATGAGTTATGAGTATGGAGGATTAAAAATGGTTGATTTGAATGCTCTGTTACAAAGTTTTATATTAAAGTGGATATTGCACTACTTCTCCCACGAAAACTCAAAGTGGAAAAAGATAATTGATGGTTTCTTTAAAAAAGTGGGCAATTTAAAATATGTGTTAAATAGTAAATGTACAAAAGATGATATGAAGTTTTGTTTAAAGAATATAAAAATACCCCAATATTACAAGAATATGGTATATACTTGGTTTGACTTTAAAGAGATAGTAGAATGTAAGACGCCAATTGATTTACAATGTACTAATGTTAGAAGTGAAAACATATGGTTTAACTCAAATATAAGAGATCACAACAAAAATGTACTATTTATTAAAAAATGGTTCGATGTAGGCCTTTTGAAAATTAATGATGTCGTAAAAAACTCTAGATTTATGTCTTTGAGAGAAATTGAAGAAAGATTTGAGAAAAAACATGCTTCTTTGTTTCAAGAATATTATATCATAGTAAATGCAATTCCCAAAGTTTGGAAACAGAATATGTTAAAACAGGTACATGTATATGATGCGACACGAGAAGAAAATGAAGGTGTCATGAAAAATGTTTTAATGAATGTTAACACTAAACGAAAGTCGAAGTTTTTTTACTCTACGTTGTCTATTCATTCAATTGTTAGACCTCCAATAGAAGAGAAATGGGAAGAAATGTTAAATAGTGCAGAGCAAATCGACTGGAAAGTCATATGGTCGTTTAATTTACAAGCTATGAAAGAAAACAAAATATCAGAATTCAATTTTAAGTTATTACACAACTTATTACCAAATAGGTATAATTTATTTAAATGGAAATTGTGTAACAATCCCTTATGTTTATATGATGATCAGTTACACGACAATCTCCATTTATTTGTAAAGTGCAAGCACACAAGATTGTTTTGGTTAAAATTTGGAGACATAATTCGAAAACTTTACAATGTCAATTTTTCTTTTGACAAGTTCGTTTTAATTGAAGGTTATAAATTGAAAAACAAAATATTTAAAAGTTTAAATTTTCTTATCATATATGCAAAATACGCAATTTATTTAACATTTATGCAAGCAGAAAATCGCAAACTCATGTTTCATGAAGTCTCTATTCTTTGTATTTTCAAAAGACTAATCCACAATCGATTAAAGATCGAAAGGAACTGTAAAACAAAAAAGATATGCATTTTTGAAAACACTGTTATTCAAGAAAACGAAACATGTTTTATTTGAACTATGCTAAGATGCTACGATGTTATTTCAATTGATTGTGTATGATTGTTTGTTTTGTTCAAATGCATATATTTATCAATAAATTCATTTTACAAAAAAAAAAACAAAAAAAAAAAAAATGTTGATCTCCACTAGTGCACGTCCAACGCTACCTTCCCCTACTTACTTGCTTCCAGCCGAAGATGGCGTGATCATTAAATTCAAAATATGTAGGTTTTACAAATCTATTATTTAGCTTCGTATGTTTTATATACACAAAAAGAAAATGCAATTTTACAAACATATTCGAAAATGTTTAAAGGAAATATCATAAAGGGCAGATGTTGAAAAGTACCACCTGTGGAAAAAAAAAGTTAATTATTTTAAAAACGAATAATTAATGTTGTGATATATAACTTATGAATTTTTCTTTGTAAGTATTATTCAATTAGTAATTGATGAAACTGTGTCAAGTAGATTTTCTGAAAAATTCTGAGAAATATGTCCGTAAGTAGGCCAAACCCCATCACCGATATTAATAATAAAAATAATGATATTTTCATTTGTAAAGCGCAATAACTATGTGGATATGTTTTACTGCGCTGCAAGAGCTCGTAAATGCTGTGCTATACATATTTCATGAACAAGTGAGTTTTCAGCCTTGATTGAACATTTTCTAGTGATGGGGCTGTCCTTATTTGTACTGGTAATCTATTCCATAATCTAGGGGCAGCTCAAAGAAATGACCGGTCTCTGAGGGTTACTTTGGTTTTATATGGGGGCATTTGCAACTTGTGTTCTATGAAGGTTACCACCATGAGTTTGAGACTCGATATTCAACAATTCAGTGACATAACTAGGAGTTTGACCATTCAGAGCTTTGTAAACTATCACAGACGTACGGGTGCATTTGTTTGTGAGGAGCCGGGGTTGGGGGGGGGGCATCCCCTACCCAATATCAGCTGTCTATATTCTATATTTTCTGACATGTTTTAACACTTTTTGTCAGTTTGTGAGGGAAATCACATCTTCGGGCACCTCCTGCCCGTAAATGAGGATATTCTCGGGCAAATTACTGCTCAAATACCAGGATATTCGGGAACGTCAATGACCATAATCTTACAAAGCCTACAAAGTTACATCTTGCAAAGTTGTCAAATATGAACTATAGCCTATGTAATTCGTTGAAAACTAGCTTAGTAAGATTTAATGAATATTGACTTGGGCTAACCCCCCCCCCCTCATGAGTAGCCTTGTAATTTTGCATTTTGTTTGTTTTGTTTTTCGATTAAAAACGGAGCCCCCCAGGTTCTAATGACCCTCAATGAGTGGACTCAGACTACGCCATTATGGAGAGTTAAATCCGATGCAATCATAATTTTGTAGCAGAAATTCTCATACAATATTGTCGTATCGTACTTGTCAACTGCCCAATTCTGCGATTGTGTAATTGTGTATGGGCGCCATCTGCGTTATCATGTAGATTAATTACTCGCTTTAAAATGAATTTTCGATTTTAACGCTAATCGGGTCAGCTTGGAATTTGGATGCAATATAATAATATAGCATGTCGAGAGAGAGAGAGAGAGAGAGAGAGAGAGAGAGAGAGAGAGAGAGAGAGGAGGGAGAGAGGGGGTAGAGAGAGAGAGAGAGAGAAAAGAGAGAGAGCGAGAGAGAGAGAGCGAGAGAGAGAGCGTAAGAGAGAGGGGGTAGAGAGAGAAAGAGAGAGAGAGAGAGAGAGAGAGAGAGAAAGAAGAAAAAAAGAGAGAGGGGGGAAGTGTTTACAGTGATGTAAATGAGACACGACTCGGGGATTGGTCTGTTGAATCTGCGAGAGGGGGTGTGAAAAACCCTGAATTTTACTGAATAAAATGTTGCATTTATGGTGACGTTATTTCGCAAAGTCAGGTAGCAACCGAGCGAGAAATGTTTAAGTTTGGAATAAGGGCACTTTTGATTACTCAGACAGCTAAATATTTACCCCCTCTCCCTCTCTTATGGCGCTAGGCAGCCTGAAATTCTCACCTGAAACCGTATCAAATGTAATTTCTGGGGACAAAACTTCTCCAATGATATACAATTTCTACAATTTACAAAATTCCCTTTATTTCAAAGATAAACAGTGTGACGTAGTCTTATTCACGAGATCCACCCAATTCTGTTTCTCTATTTTTCTTCAATTTTACGTGTAAAGGGATGGTAGACAATCCCAGATGAAGATTCAAGTTGTGGGGACCTTGCTTGTCCCCAGTACCCTGGAACTAATGCCATTGCTTGCAGTATTTCACAAGCCTTTCCTCAATCTAAAAAGAATATAACATGCGGTACGAGGGGCTGGGAGGTGTATGAGAAGGGCAATCGTGATTACATGGATTTTGTACAATTTATTATAGCAAAGGACATGGATTTCACATACATTCTTTAAATCTGGTAAGAAGACGGGCGTTCGAGAAACAAAAAATAAGACCCAAACAATATTTGATGTAACCAACTGACCAACGGGATTATTATGAATTCGGCAGTGGTAAAACAATTTTGTTTCCTTCCTTCCCCCCCCCCCCCCCCTCTTTGTGGTTTTTAAATTAAACTTTGGGGAGCAGCATCTCCCAGCCAGCCCCCACCCCATTACGCTAGTGAACATTATCGTAATTAGAGAGAGAGAGAGAGAGAGAGAGAGAGTGGGGGGGGGGGGGAGGGTGAGAGCCCAAATGTTTATCCCCGTTTCTCCGTAACCACAACTATTTCACCTTCTTTCAAAAGCGACTGAAACACATCCTTTCCATTTTAAAGCCAATATGAATGTTTTTTTCATATTTTTTACCAACCAAATAAAATTATAATTAAGAAAACAATCGAGAGTAGACGTGAAAAACAACTGCACAACGTTTTGGCTGAATTTGTCTCAGACATATCGAGGTAGGCCTTATGTAATATGTGAATTCGTGTGGAACATGCATGACTGTTTATATATTTGAAGAATGTTCTACATCGGAAAATATTTTGATATATAGGCTAAAGACAGCTCATGTTCGAAGCCAAGTAATTTATCAATGTTCCAATCTACAGACAAACAGATTCATACCACTTTCCGGTTGATATGTCGTAATAATAAACATGGGTACATGATAAAATAAACCTTTGGACTCATTAGCTTCTTAAAACAAACATTTTATTTGAAATATATAGGGTATTCCATAAAAACATACATTACATTGTGTCGAATCATATTTATCTACTGGTAACATTAGATAAAAACATTTTAAGACTCGCATATAGGGTATTCCATAAAAAAATACATTACATTATGTTGTTTCATATCTATCTACTGGTAACATTAGATAAAAACATTTTAAGACTCGTTTGGATTTGTTTTTGTTTTAAAAATCCGATAAAAGTGAAACAGATTACACACCACCTTTTACATCAGACAAAAATAGAACAAACAAGTTTCAGAATAGAATGGCTTCTTACTTTTCTTCAAGCTGAATTACTGAGGGGTGCTAGGATCAGATACAGAGAGGAAAAACCGTATTTTGTTAAAGAACATTTCAATGCGTTTTTAATGTAGAATGAATCTATGGCGGTACCCTTTTTTTATAAGAAGAGTTAATGTTAAGTTAATTAGACGATGAATAGATAATGTGAAATAAAGAAAGAGAAGTACATTTGATTAGATGTTTGCAACCTTTGATATAATATGCTAAAAAGGTGAATAGATAAATAAGTAAAATAAGAAATGAAATTATACGAAAAGAAACGAAAAACTATGAGGAAATTCTCTGTATTAACAACACTAATACAAAAACGACCCACTTTTGTTGTGCATTATGATATAAAATCGTCCGCATTCGGCAAAGATTTTACTTATTGCCCATTTGGACATGATATTTCCAAAAGCACGAGTCACATTTTGAAGTCAACGTATAAGAAAATGATTAGTAAAACAAAATGATAGATAATGCCGTACATCAATTACCCTCCTAAAATGCAAGCTCTGACACCCCGGCCAGTTACACGGCCAAACTGACTCCATATCGTCTCCCCGATTCTTGGCAATTTGCGGTAATGTAATTCGGTCTCGCTTCGGTCTCTTTGGCGTGACTATGCTATTACTGAAGAGATTTGAAAGACCTTTGTTGAATATCAAATACAATTTCGCTCATTTGCCTTCGTGCTAAAACAGTGAATAAAAAGCGTACCATCCGGTACAACCCACGGCAGAGCAACAAACGGCAAGGTAGCAAGTCAGTAAATGAGTCAGTTCACCCTCAAGAGTAAAATCTTTAAAATATTTAAAATGTCCATCACTAACAAAATTGTCTCACATTTTTGTGGAAAGATACCAATTAATGGTTTAAAAAATACGGGAAAATCCGCAATAACACAATCCACGACATAATTATATGGATGATCTTACATTGAGAGTACATTTCTTTTACAGGTAAAATATCTACCATTAAAATGTTTCCCCGCTTCGAGGAAAGGTAGCAACGATTTGTTTTACCCCTTATTTGCCACAAATGCCAATCGGTACAATAAATATTCCTCAATAATTGCAAATGCAGTATCTGGTGACAAATTTTCTATTATATTCAGAATCTAAACTACTATTCAGATAATACATCTGCAATATCATTGCTTAAGAAAGAATGTGAATCTTTTTTTTTAAAGGAAAATAATGTGGCAAATAAAGATTAAATATTCAAGCCGTGTAAACCGGTTTGCCTATTGAGCGTATTATCAGCTTCATTATGAAACTGAACCTATCGCCTTGAAGTAATAGTATTATATGGGGATTGGTCGGGAGTAGGACCCTCAAACGAGGTCAGGGTTTTTCGCGTGTCTTGGTGGACGGGTGAAAACCAGGAGCGAACGATGCCGATGTAGCGGCTACGGAAGAAGACGTCCCCATTCGTGTTGCCACCGGATTGCATATTGGCGCGCCTCTCGCGGCGACGTTTCGTGGTGACGTAGCAGACGGCGCCCATTGCAGCGACGAAAATGACGCCAATGAGGGAGGCGATGGTACTGACCGAGGCCACGAAGATGGTGTCGAAGGAAGATGCGCCACGGACCATACCATCCGATGGGGTTTCTCCAGTTGTCATGGAGTCGGTGAGTCCTTGGGTGGATGGTAATGGTTCGTCGGTTATTGCCTGTCGTCGTAGGGTAGTACGTGGTAGGGTAGTAGAAGAGGGACGAGGGGTATTTGTCTCTTGCGGAGCAATGGTTGTTGCTTTAGTGCTTGGTGCATCCGTCTCCCTCGGTGCCTCAGTAGGAAGGGAGGGAACGCGGGTGTTCGGTGCTTGAGTGACCCTCTCTGTTGAAGCAACAGGTCCGGTAGGTGCCTGGGTGGAGACTTCCGTTAGGATCAGGGTTAAGGAAGAGTCTGCAGAAGCTTGTCCATTAGGTGCTTCAACCTGGCACCGTACGAGACCATTGGTGTCCCTTGTACCTATCAAGTGCAGTACAGTCGCCGAGAAGGTGCTGTCGATCACCACCGAACCATCAACGTTGCTTTCCAACTCCTCGTCGTTCAGAAACCAGCGGTAGACTGCCCTTGGAGCCGGCGCTGCGGTACAGACGAATGACGTCTGCGAGCCGAGGGTGATCTCCGCCGTCGGGGGCGCCAGCACGATATTCGGTAATTCCGTGACGAGGTCGAATGGACCGATGAAGGACGACCTTGTTTCTGTCCAAAGAGAATGCTGAGCCCGACACTCGAACATCGCGCCCTCATCGCCTTGTTCCGTCACCCATACGTAGACCAAACGACCCGATGCGACCACGATGATCTCATTGCCTTTGATGAGCTCTATCTCCGGGATGGGATTCCCGCCTTCGATTTCGCACACGATCTCGATGGTCTCGCCGACGACGATCATTCCCGTCACCGTGCTGGTGATGGAAGGGTATTCCTGAACGGGTGGGGCATGCACCTCGAGCTTGGCGTTTCGAGACAAGAGGCCGGCTCCACCGGAGAAGGCAACACACTTGAACGTACCTGCATCCTCTGGTCTGACGTCTTCGATGATGAGGCTGTAGGACTGGCTGCTGTAGGAGACCGAATACCTGAAAAATAAAAATAAAATAAAAATGATATCATCCTTTATTGGATGTCTGCTAATCTGACAATACCATTTCTTATCTCTTCCCCATCAGTTTATCTGTGGTCTCATTCTATGTAAGTTTCTCTCTTTCACTCTCTCTCTGTCATACATGTCTTTCTGTTTCTTATCGTTCTAGGTCTATCTACTCCTTCCAGTTCTCTCTATCTACTTTTGGAATGTCAATCTCCCACTCTCCCACTTTCTCTCTCTCTTTCTCTCTCTCTCTCTCTTTCTCTTTCTTTCTCTCTCTCTCTTTTCTCCAAATGTCGTGTCCTCTCTCTCTCTCTCTTCCCCGCCCCTTTTTCTTTCACATGTGGTCTCTAATCCCCTCTCTCTTCCTATCAACTCTATCGTGGACCTCTCGTAGGTCCATGTCTCTATCACACTACTCTCTCTCCCTCTCTTTCCCTCTCACTTTCTCCTTTGAAAATTTTCTGTAAGAGACCGAGTACCTGAAAAATAAAAAAATATATCATCCTTTATTGTATGTCTGATAATCTCACAGTACCACCTCTTCTCTCTTCCCCATCTGTTTATCTGTGGTCTCATGCATATCCTTGTGTTTCTTATTGATCTAGGTCTATTTTCTCCTTTTAGTTCTCTCCACCTACATGTATGTCTGAATCTCTCTCTCTCTCTCTCTCTCTCGCTCTCTCTTTCTCTCTCAAAATCTATTGCCCTCCTTTATCTATCTCTCCCCTTCTCTTTCACCGTCGGTCTCTAATCCCCACCTTCTTCCTACCCACTCTACCATGAACCTCGTAGGTCTATATCGCCTCTCTCTCTCTCTCTCTCTCTCTCTCTCTCTCTCTCTCTCTCCCTCTCTCACACTCTCTCTATCTCTCCCTCTCTCCCGCTCTCAATTTATCCCTCCTCTCTATTGACCATTCTCTCCTTCTCACCTGTCTGGGTCAGCGTCTCCCACGATCTGTAGGTTCTGACCGATGACCACTGTATCCCTCACCCACATGAAGGTAGTAGCATCTTGGTTGACAGAACAGTACAGAGTCGTCGTTGTACCCTATGTCAAAAAATAAACAACAAATTGTATCAAATCATTATCATTTCTCGTTTGTTAAAATTCAGAATCAGACTGTAGCAGAATTTATAACTTCTCATTAAACTAGCGTTGAGAAACATGCCTGTGATGGTTGTGGTGATAGGCGAAGGTAGTGATGACTATGATGATGATGATGATGATGATGATGATGATGATGAAATGAAGATTATGTAGCTATAGCAATTTTGATGATAAGGTGTGAGGAAAATTGATATAATGATAGTTATGATGGTGGTGGTGATGGTGACGGCGGTAGTATGATGATGATGATGATGATGATGAAATGACGATTATGTAGCTATAGCAATTGTGATGATAAGGTTTGAGGAAAATTGATATGATAGTTATGATGGTGGTGGTGATGGTGACGGCGGTAGTATGATGATGATGATGATGATGATGATGATACTAATACTAATACTAATAATAATAATGATGGTGATGACACGGATGATGGTAATGTAGTAATCGTGGTAATGATGAGGATAATGCTTGAAATGCTAGAGCGCCGTAATGGTCGCCTTGCTAAAGCCAGGGTAATAATCGGGGCAGCGCCAGGAGCGTCACGATGTGATGGACATGCGCGCTGTATAAGAAGCCACCATTATTATTATTATTATCGAGATGATGCAGGTGAGACCGTGGTTGATGATGTTGGTGATGATGAAAATGGTGATGATGATGATGATGACAATGATAACATTTTGATGATGATAATACTAATGGCATTGGTGACTGAGATGGCATTCATAAAAGGCAGTGACAGCAGCAATGATGGTAAGACTAGGGATGATCATAGTAGTTATTTGGTGGAAGTGTGTGTGAGGAGAGGGGGGGGGGGTGGTCAGGGAGAGGTTTTGTTCCTATTCGAATGGGGAGAAGCATTTTGGGCTTTCTTGAGCGGTAAACATCATAAAACTGTGAGATGGGATGCGTCATACCAACTCCTTCCGAGAAACTGTCCGAGGTTTAGTTTTTAGATCAACATTTCATTTAGTACCACTCAATCGAATCAATGCCTATCTCATCATTTATTTACTAATCCGCCATTGATTTTCCATGAGCCTGAGCTCCATTAGTTCTATTCATGTACTTTTCAAAGGGTCATAACAAGTAAGGAGTCTCCATTAAAACCCGTTGACTTCTGAATTATCTAATTACCATAGACCTGATACAGGGACCAGTTGGCTCCCGTATACAAAGGGTTAAACCTTTTTACACATAGTGCTCTACAATGTACGGGTATATTAAGCTTTTAAATACTATTTATCACTTCTTTCTGAATTGGTGATGTTTTCCTTGTTTAGATCAAGAATAAACAATCTAGCACAATCTCATGTTAAGAGTTAAGGGTTTTATGGTGCTCCGAGATGGGAACAACAGTGATGTAAACAAAGACAGTAGTGCTCAAACTCCCAACATCTTCTCATGCCTTAGATTTCACAAGACAAATATAATGAGAAAAAATAATTTAAAGCTACGTCCAGTATATCGTCTTCGGAAGGTGACGGTAAAGGTCGGTCCCCAGACGTAAATAATCATATCTGATTGATACACGTCTTCAAAAACCCAAATTACACAAAGACTTAGTGGTAACAAAATACAGTTTCTGGCGAGCGTTGTGTAATTTTCATAACAATTTTGTACAACATAGAACGTAAAGCGCGATTGTGTGGATATAATTACGATGCAAGAACCGGCCGCGGCGATTATTTTTAGATTCCTATTTCGTTACTTATCTTTTTAAAGTAAATAGCTTAAAATATCATTATGACGTTGAACAATCTGCATTATAAAACAAGATTATTTTATTTCTTAAGATGGAGGCACCTCCACCTACCTTGTCTTTCATTGTATCTTTCTTTGTCAAACGTATGTATTCATCATTGTGTACATTTGCTTAAAATACATGTACAGTTTTAAGCTTTGAGAAAAAAATAATAAATAAATATTTAATTTGAAGGGGGAAAATGTATGCAATTTGCTTATATTTGTGTAGGCCATAAGTATAATTTTATCAACGGCTTGACAAAAAAATATTTTCCAGAAGGGTCATCGTTATTCCTAATTATAATGAAGAATTATTATTTGCCTCTTTTGTGTGTTCTATGCATGATTATATAAGTTCCATAGAGTGGTGAAGTTTTTTTTTTTTTTTTTTTTAAATGCTCTTTTGGAAAATGAAAGAGCATCAAAAATAATGTCCGAATGTCGAAAACCAATTGAAAATGTTAGGTATTGGCTGAGTTATGAACCAGGGCACTATAACACTGAGTTCCCATAGGACATGATTCAGATGGTCATATCTCATCCAATACTTCACATATGTAATTGGTTTTCGACATTTGGACATTATTTTTGATGCTCTTTCGGAAAATGAAGAAAAAATTGAGAATTTCTAAAAAAATATTTGTATGATGTCACAGCTTCTATAAGGGTACGGAGGTTCCCATGAATTAGATTTAAAGAGATAAACATCTTCTTTTGTTTCTGGCTTGATCTCCACCCTATATACAGAAGAATTTTTCTTTTTTAGTATGATTATAGCAAAAAATACAATTAAATAATAACTTCAATTATAGGCATAGCATCGTTTTGAATATATGAATCCCGTGCTCTATTCAATAATCATTGCAAGATGCATTATTAAAACAGACAACACGTAAACACACCACACCTTATCGCGTTCACACCTTGCTTCACGTGTACTCACATATACAGCAGTAATTCTTTACATATATTAAATAAAACAAAAACGACAACCTACCTGAACAGCAGTTGTATCACTGGGCTCGATGATGAAGCCGAACGAGTCGGCAGCCGACGTCGTCGACAGCAGCAAAGTCGCCATGAGGACGACGACAATCTCGAGTCGTGATCGAAAAAGAATCATCATGGCATATAAGTCAGCTAGACAATATCAGTCAAAGACTTCCCCTCAAAAGATGAAGGAATATGGCGTTGATTCGGTATAGAATAAGTGTCGAATATATTTATATATTCCAAAGTGAAACATATATGTATTTCGTGCATTCACAACGCCTTATTCACAACCATATTAATTCCAGAAGTTGAAGTTCTTGACAAGCAACATCCTTCCTTCTCAACCTGTCCCGTCTCTACGCCAACGTTATGGGTGCGCAGTGATCCTGTATGGGCTCGTAGAGATGATGGTATATACCTGTGTATTTTAGTATATCGGGTACCCTCCGAATTCCTTTCAAACAATGCTTGTTTCAGGGCGTCGCCATACCCATTCTTCCTTGATCTCGCAGTTCTCAGCTCCGTTGCCTCCGCGACAAAGGGAGGGTTACGTAAGAGAACAAAAGATGCGGTATGGCGACTGAAGTCTTATGAGGGTAATGCTCTCTGGCTAATGAAATAAGGTTCACCGCTAGATTTTCATTTGGTTGCGTTTACAAATGTTCTTAGGGTACATCATTGAAAAAAGAATGGAGGTTCTCCATAAAATCTATCATGAATGTGATCAGCATACAATACTTAAAAGAAAAAAAACAAATATCACTTTGTTTCTACCTAAATTTACGGGTTTTTTTACCTATAAGCGTTTATCTATTTCCTCCCTATTGTACGTTTTTGTAAATTCATTGTCATTTAAATAGTCCCGATTAAGTTCTCATTATCCTGTACCCAGTGCTGAGAACAAGAGGGTCCAGCCATTAAATAAGGCACGGACTATAGGGGCGCTGGTCTTACAAGACGGATGAGATGCGAGATAACAGGGCGATCGAGGGACAGCAACATGGACAGGAGGGTGTGGGAAGGGGTTTATTACCTCATGTTCAAATTGACTATATCTTTACATTTATTTTGCTCCCTTTCATTCCCCCTTTTCCTTGCCATTCCATGGAGGGTTGGGGTGCATATGCTTCCCTCCCGCCCGCCATATTCCGAAGCCATATTCTTAATGTTAGTTAATATGAAGATTCATAAATTCAAATATTTTATATTACGAAGGCTCGGGACTCCGTAATTAAATAGGTTTCATAATGCTAAAGGTAAAAGTTTTGAAAATTTGGTAGAACCTTATTCTAAAAATTGTATTTCGGAGTTACGAACGTCCGGAATAATGAACCTAAGGTGTATTGCGACAAATGCTCGGAAATAAAGACCGTCAATACTACTGGGCCAGAAGGGATCAGACCACACAGCGAGGTCACTGACAACTTGCTATCCCATTAACTCAGCTCTCAACTAACATAAGAAAAAGAGGATCATGGGGGATCAACAGGCACCGATTGGGGAAGTTTTCTATATAGAGGGAGCATGTAGCTACAAGTAGGACAGTGGGGTTTTAAGGCACTTAATTCATTTAAAAGGTAATAAACACCTTGGTAAATGACGATTGTGTTAAACATTACGAACCTTTGGAAATTCCAATGCACAGCCAGCTGTAGATCTTTGGTATGATTTGGTGTTCATTTTTTTTTCTCGTTTTATTCTACATCATCACACAAAATTTGAACTCAACTTTTTCTTTAAATATTTTTTTCTTCTGATTTGATATAGCACTTGGCAGTGGATTACTTTTTAATCCATTGACTATTGAATTCTCTCATAACCATAGACTTATTATATGAACTATCCAGTTCCCATGTGCAATGGGTTAATTTTGTTGGAAATTTTTATCTTCACACATTGGGGATGTTAGTCGAGTGACAAATTTGTTCGGCGGGACAGAAAATGCGGATGCGTTTGAGAAATTGCAGTCAGACAGGTTTCGTTAGATAAAACCGTTCAACAACTATTCACTTTTCAATGACCAGCAGAAATTCATGAATTGCTTTAATCACTCTCCCTTTGCTCCCTCTCTCCTATACTCTTAGCCTCCCATTTCTTTCTCCCCCCTCACCCTCTTCGCCCTCTCCCTCCCCTCTCTTTTTATCACCCTTCTCCTCGAACAGTTCCCCCTCTTTCAAGTTTCGATCGCTCATCCTCTAAATGTAAACAAAAACGTGTTGCTAGGTATTAGAACGAATCTTTATTGAACAGTGATTAGACGTTTTTTCACTATATACAAGAAATCAATAAATGAACTAATTTTTGTTTTCATTACCAAAAAATTGCGGACACTGCTAGTACCAATGCTATACAGTGTATATATGGAACAAACATGTCTGCGTTGCAACTAGAAGTTAGAAAATAGTCAAAAACTGTAATGATGAAAAGAGTCAAATGGTAGCACATAATTATATGCCTATCGACTCTGGCCCATCTGGTTACACACATAACGAAAATAAATTAAATATTGCTACAGATTTACATAAAAAAGAGTAATTAATTACATCATGACAGAATTATAAACTAATAGCAATCATTCATTTATTTATCATTTTTATTTGTTTAACTATTCATTTTCATTTTTTTCCTTTTTTCTAATACTTATACAGGGTAGTAAACAGTGAGGTGTCCCATGAGGCCCTGTTTGATAAAAACAATATTGAATAATAATTATGTATTGAAACACATAAAAGCAACAAAAACAAAAGTCAGAGGAAAAGATAAATCCATTGGTATCCTCGTAATAAACGTGGATGTTCAGCCAAATACCTTACTACACGTGCAGATGGTAATAAGTTGTTAAGCCTGACACATTCATCGTGAAGTTTTAAAGATAACAAATTTGAAAGTTCATAAACATAGTAAAAAGTACATTTTGACTAAATATTTTATATATGAAGATCCACTTTCAGGACTCAAGTTTGTACATACGCTGCAGCTTCTTAATAGTTACATAGAATATATTACAATATATTGTTTTTCAAATAATAAATTGTGAGTGTTAATGGTACAGCTTAGAAATTGAAATACAATCTAAGATACAAAGGAAAGTCCTACCAATTTCCCAAAACTACTGAGTAGCGATATAATATTCACAATTTCAGAACTTATTAATGAAACATCATTTGACACCAAACGGCACCCCAGACAATCCAAAGACTCAAAATTTCACTTTGTCAATTTAAGCTGAATTGAATAAAACTCTTCTTTTTTTTTTGTTGTTGGGGGGGGGGGGGAGGGGTATTAAGGTTGGACGGACAGGAAATGCCTTTTTTTCCCTTTACATCCAGAGCATATTAGGGCAACAAAGCGTGGTCAAAGGGCACTTCTTTCTTTCGGGGAGTGTTACTTTTGATCGGGGTTGGGGTCATGACCCCAACTCCGATCAATTTTCTTTCTCAATTTTCATGTTTTGTATTGCACAGAGCAAAACCTCTTCCTTCTGGAAAAAAAATCCGTGGATCTTAAGGAGAAAATTAACCCTTATGGGAAGGGGCAGTTAGATCTGTCAGGCAAATAACCAATCTCGATAAGTTTTGTCACGGTTTGTCTTCAGTCATGTCCAGTTGCACTACTTCCTATATGGTGACAGAGTTTTAATGCATATGTTAGACGGGGGTTAAATCGACACGACTTTAAGGTCTGTATCGACGGCTCGGTCGGCAAAACCCGATGGCTACCGTCAGGATTAGAAACTTTTTGGCAAATAGGATGGTCTTTAAGGGGTGAACAGGTGCATGGGTTGTCTACTTCGGGACAGGCTGATGGCCAAAAGGTTGTTTAGCGTCGTTGGTCTAATTTAGGAGTAGCGGACTTGGGCAACATCAAAGGGCAAAAATGAGTAATATTTCCTATTACATACAAGGAAATCGTTGCAAACAGAAAAATATGCAATGCGTAAATCGATATTTTTGCAACTTGTTCATTTGCATCTTCGTATACCGCTGTTGTTCTTGTTTCTGATATTGCTGGTACTGATGCGAGTATGTGATCGGATGGGTATGATGGGGGCACTGTTTGAATGCAAACATACTCAAACACATTGACCTATTTAATAATTAATCTCCTTGTTGGATTTTGTATTCCATAATACGTCTGAGCATTCACACTTTTATTTAGTTTCTTCTAAATTGGAAAAGCAACAGAACACATGGTTATCATTCCCTTGTACCAAAATCGTGTGGTTTAAAGTTGCCCTCGACAAATGTTTCCACTGACAAAGCAAAACTCATGAAAATAGGCTTACCTACAATAATACTCTTCCGCAAATTAAGGAAATAATGACAAGGTATAAAGTGGTCTTGAAATCTCACGAATAATGTACATTTTCCTTCCTAAAATATATGAGAATAAATATCATATGCTCGTTATAGTACCTTTAGCAAAACGGAGCATGTGGTGAATATTGGGTAACTCGCTTCTCTCGTTTCGACGCATGAATGTAAACGCCAAAAGGACGCCAAACATAGTATTACGCGCAGCGCGCTAGCAACGCGCTATGCATTCGGTGGCAGCTCGCTAGCTTCTCCCAAATCCTGACAAAAGTCGGGCTCACGATCGATTTTTAAAAGTGTGACCGGGCCATAGGAGTGGTGTGATTCGGATTTTTTGTCAGCCCCCCCCCCCCCCGGATTCACGGAAAATACGGCAACAACATATCAAAATTATTGTTACCATCAATAATATGACTGGAATGAAGCAAAGGATCACACCAAGTGACGATTTACTGGTTTTATGGGATTCTCTTTTAGTAGATTGTGTAACTTTCGTTATCTTTGATGTCATGGGATTGGATGCTGGCATCGATGAAACATTTTCAATCACACGCGCCGTGCTAGCTGTTGGACAAGGGTCTTGTATATTCGATTCGGTCATCGAAACTGGATCCTAAACAAAATCATTGCATTCACATATTCCTTTAGATTTTACAGAGGTCGTGGAGCAGCAAAATACATGTTGATTATTCTGGTGTACTATTATGGTCTGTTCTAGAGATTTACCGACTTTAAGAGGTTTACTAAACTGAGGCCTCAATTCGCCATCTTGATAACACAAAATCTGTCCCGGTATATCCCAAACTGGAGCTGTACAAATCAGTTTAACCCGATGCCCTTTTCCTAAAATTTTATTCCGTCTACATTGTGCCTTACCAGGAAGAAGATCAACACGTAACCCTACTCTTTCGATATATCCATTATTCTGTGCAAGGAGAATGTATGCTCCTTGATCTTCCCTATTCACATGGCTAATGTTTAACTGGAGTAGACAAATACCATCTTCAAATGAATCCTGCACCGATATTCTATTGAATTGACTAGAATGTAGAGTCAGAGATTTCGGATCAGCTGAATTGTAAAATGGGGTTCTGTATCCCAACTGTAACGTTGCATCTGTACTGTTACATGGATAAGGGAATTCGAGGTTTA